ACAAAACTAAAACGTATGGAAAACGTCTCTTCATGTCCATCTAGTACAGGAATACGTTTTGAACGCTGACGTACTGGAGATGGCGAGGAAGGCGAAGAGCGCCAGGTAGTAGGCTCTGCGGTGGTCATACACCAGGTAATCGGCGTCGGTTGTCATATCCATCACGGCTCTGTAGAGTCCGGAATGAAGGCCCGGTGCCGCTGGTATTGAAAAGAGATATTTCAGAAACAAAAACTTGATGATTAGGTGAACGACTCACGCGAAAACGCACAAAAGCAATGTGTGTCGCGTTTAGTGCGCCGCGCTGAATCAGTCGCTAGAGTGCTTGGCTGCTGACCCCAAGGTTGCGGGTTAGATCTCTGCTGAGGCAGTCGCATTTCAATGGAGGCAAACCGTGTACTGCCTGATGTCAGTGCAAGTCAGAGAAGACCACGTGGCGTTTCCTTCTCTTCGGCGTCCCTCATAACGAAATTGTGCTTTTGGGACGTAAAACCCCTCTTAATATTCTATTAGGATATGTGTCACGCTTAAAAATATAAATAGAAGCACTCTGCGCATAAAGGCAGCAGTGGGAAGCAAAGTTGGCTTGTGTGTGCTTGACCTGTTTATTCCTATTTCTCTTCAAAGCATTGCGCAAAGATGCCTTTTAACACTTGCCATGAACTTGACCTTTACCCGCGTGCTTAACCGAGATAATTGATCGAAAAAATGTCTCCCGGCAGTCGCCTTCCCTTGGCTCTCATAAGTTACGTCACTAACTGCCGGGATAATTTTTTGTATGATTCTCCTGGCAACCGGTACAACTTAACCTAACCTATTCAACATAACCAAACGTAACCTAACCTAACACAGCGTACGCTCGGTCACGTCTGTCTCGCAGCCTAACCTAACCTAATCTAACGCACACTAGGCTACGTATGCCCAGTCTGTCCCATAGCAGCCAATTTCTTCTCTTCTCCCCATGACAGTTAGTCACGTGTCGTATGAGAGCCAATGGGAGGTGATTACCGTGAGAAAATTTTTTGAACGATTATCCAGGTGGCCGGGAGAATAAACATTGCGCAACAATTTTGTTATTACCGGCAACAACGACGACGATGCGTGAAAAAATGAAATGTAACAATAAAATGTGGAAACTTGAACTCCCGAGTGACCTCGACAAAAGATTAGCTCGCCATATCAGAAACGGCGTTTTACCTGCGAGCCCACGACTGACAGAGCACCAGTCATTGGAAAGCGGCGCGTGCAAAAGCTTGTTTAACCGAGGCACGTTGCGAGGGCCGAATTCTTCTAGACCAGAATTTCTGTAAATCGCAAACGCCCTGGAAATCCGTCACTCAGAGCATCTTAACACGGGAGAAGCGGTAGGTTGGCCTTAACAAAGCGAGCTAGAAATGTAACCGAGTTTAGACGCACTTACACGATAATAGGTGAGAGTTTAACCCGTCTGGGACAAACGGGGACTCTTGAAAGACGCAGCTCTGCAAGGAATAAGGGTGAGAGTAGCCCTGGATGGAACGTAAAAGCAGCCCAATTGCTTGGAACGAGACGGATACGACCGCAGCCCTGGTCTCGTGCGCATGCTTGCTCGTTCCCTGATACTGGACCCGACCCACTAGGGGCGGGGGGACTGGAAGCCGGTGGTTAATGTAATTGTAAACATTAGGGCAAAATGCGAGCCTTCAGTCCGCACCACAAACTGCAACCTGCAGTGGAACATCATACACCTGAAGTCTTGCGTCCATTACTATCGAACCAGCAGCCCAGTTTAGGCTCACGTGTTCTTTTTTATGTTGTCTTCTTTATATATCTCTCTTTTCATCCTTCAATTCTCTTCCCTCAGCGTTAAATAAAAAACTGAACGCTCGTCTGGTTAACCTTCCTACCTTCCTTCCTCTAGCTTCTCCTCCTCCTAAGGACATAAAAAGTCACGCATATCTACGAAGTGAATCATGACCAGTGAGCGAAGCTCTGGTTATCGTATGGGTGAGTAAACATGCGTTACCAGAGCGTCACTCCATTTATTGTAAATCGAGGGACATAAATTGATATAAGCAGTCGACGATAAAGCTATAGTCGGTTACAATCAAAAAGGTTTAAAAAAAATTGCTGAAGTCGAAGCTCCCGCAACGCTTTCCCAGCTGTAGTGAAGCCAGCTTTTGCCTTCCAAAGATCTTAGAAACATAATTTCTGGTAGTGCCCACTTATAGATCAAGTGGCTTTGATTAGTTTATCTAAATGCTACGTTAATTATACAATAAAAGATAGTTGTTTCCGGAGAAATAATACACAGAGACCATTATTGGTGACTTAATCTCCTATAAAATTCGCCTCGAATTCAAGGCTTACGAAAGAAAACTAGTAACACAAGGACGCACTTTGAGCACTATCTGACCCTATAAGGTTGTCACGTTAAACTTGTTGGGCGTGTGAAGAAAACGCTCTAATCACCGAATAGCACATCATGCTATCACATTGAGTTCTTGTGTACATATATGCCAACATTGTCATGTATATTAGAGCAAATGTCTTCACTGTAATGTAGTGATGTTAGTCGTGAAATATAGATGTGCTGAAGTGTATGTGCCCTGCTACTGGAATGGTATGAAGCCTTTGTGTTCTGTACATGCTGTAAATAATTTTTTTCTAAACAGCACATCATGCCCCTAGTGCAGCCGCCACTAGGTGTTCTGTGGCCGCCATCTTACGGTTGGCACGGCTTCACTTGTGGGCAAGAATTTTTCCTCCAGCAATTTTCAGGTGCGAAGCTCCTTATAGCGGCACCCGTTCGTCCCTCGTAGTCGTAGTCGTAGTCGTAGTGTGTAACCAGTCCTATGCTTTGATTTCCAAGGTGGTGCCGGTGGGGGATTTCCCCTGTGCGTTGTTGAACAATAAAAAAAATTTGCAGCATGCTCGTCAACTGGAAACCTAATTCTTCTGTCTCTCATTCCCCATTAGCAGCTATTGGCATGTTCCAGTAGGAAACGTTAGTAGAAGTAGAACTGTTAGAAGCCGACTTCTGCTGTCTCTCATTCCCAGTAGCAGCTATTGTTTACCTCCAAGGTAGTGCCTGGTGAGATTTCTCCTGTGCGTGACTAAACAATAAAAATTTTGTTCAAAACGCCATTGATTGATGAAATAAACCAACGAAGGATGCCAGACGTTTTTTAAAAGCAAAACAAAAAGACGCCAGATGTTTCTAAAGCAAAACAAAAAGAAGACGCCAGCTGCTTAACGAAAGACGCCAGGTGTTTTCTAAAGCACTGATTTTATAATCAGAACGATATCGATACAGGTTTGTAGTTGCCGATGCTTGTTGCCGTTGGTGTGTGCTCATATGGATAAGGATGCCGGAAGGCGGGCGCGCTGGGCAGCGGTGGCGCGCGCTCGCAGACAGGACCCTGAAGTGAGAGCACGCGAGGCAGAAGCGCGCCGGGAAGCTGCGCGACGTCGCCGCCAAGATCCTGCTGTACGGGAACAAGAAGCCACATCAGCAAGGCAGCGTCGGCAAGATCCCGCCGTACGTGAACAAGAAGCTGCAGCGGCACGTCAGCGTCGGCAAGATCCTTCCGTACGGGAACGAGAGGCCGAGGCAGCACGTCAACGTCGCGAAGCAGATCTTGAAAACGTTCGACAATGGGAAGCGGTGAGGAAGCGCGCATATCGCCAGGCGAATTAACGGAAAAATATGTCAAGGTATTACTTCCAGGAGCTTCGCCCAATCTCATCATCATTCACCTCGTGGATCTGCCGTCAATTTTTTTTACCTCCTTGGTTACAACTTAAGAAAAAGTACGGGGTCCGCCCAGTACGGCAGCCAATGTTTCATATTTTTTGTAACAATTATGAGTGGTATTGATTTATTGTTCAATCTTTTTTTTGTGCCTCACAATCTCGTTCGTTACCCGAACGTTGCGATATATTGCAACTGTTTCTTACGGACACCGGACATGACTTGCCCTGAACGTGCACAACCTCTAATATAATTACTGCATGCGAAGCAGCTCTTTGACTAATCTGTGTAACACTGTCCGTCAGTGTCTCCGTACCAACGCGCCGCACAACGTCCCCCCTCCCCCCGCAGTTGTTGAAACGATGTCATGTAGGTTAAGTCACAGCTGCGCGTAAACGTCAGACGTTCACAGACAGACAGAAAGACGGACCGACAGACGGACGCTTCGCCCCACTCATCATCATTCGCTCCGTGGATGTGGTGTTTCTTGTATAATAGACTATGCACCAAAGGCTCTCGCCTTAGTACAAGCTTGTTACTCTATGTTACTAAACTATGTTACTCTATGGGACGGCTTTCTACGATCCCATAGTAGAACAGCAAGTACTCTTAATCATTGAACACTTCTTCTATACACACAATCTGAAAGCGGCCCTGTCCAAAATGGAATGAGAAATGGCGCTAGGTTGGTATTGAAGGACCGTTAAGCTTCTAGCTAACCTCCCAGACCCGGTATACCAACTTTATTCAAATTTAGAAGGAGTATGAACCACTACCAATTGATTGGAAAGTGGCTTTGGTAACCTTCATTCCCAAACCAGGGAAGTCTACAAACTATGAAAATTTACGACTCATTTTCTCAACCTCGTGTTTGAGGAAGCTTGTGGAAACAATGGGTAGAGATCGGCACTCCGATTACCTGGAGGCCCAGCACACCTTTGCCGACACTATGTACGGCTTTCGTCTTTATCAATCTGCTTCGAACATTCTCCTGCTACTCCTCCATGATGATATTGAGCCGATCGAGCGCCCCAGTAAAGAAAAGGTAGTCCTCGCCTTAGACCTGAAAGGGGCTTTTGATAACGTTACAATAAAGTTACTCTTACCCATCTGCCCCGAACGGATTGCGGGCATATTGTTCTCAGATACACCTGATGGAACGCCAAAGTACCTCCGCATACAGGACAGGGAGCATGGCCCATAACCTCGGAGTAGTCGAGGAACATTACAGGGAGTGGTTGTCTCTTCTCTTCTGTATAGTCTCACCATGGCTCATCTCCTGCCACTCATGAGGTATATCACCGGTGTGCGGCTTGCTCTGTACGCGTACGTTATCACGTTGTTATCAGCTTATAGAGTTCCTTTAGAAGCACGGAGGCGAGCTTACAGCAAGCAGCATTGGTCGTGGATGACTACGCCCGCCGTTGCGCCCTGAAATGTTCACCTACAAAATTGGAGAATGTAGATCTTCACCCCAAACCCAAAGACACGACACAAATCGCACGTTTCTTGCTTACCCGGTCAATCCAGAACACGAAAAAACCCGCGTCTTGGGCCGCCTTATGCACACAAGCCGGAAAGTCGACACAACCCATTGCAAGTTACATACAGTAGGGGATCAGGTAGGCCGCATGGCCCATCGGGCCTCGAACAATCGAGGGGGTGGGTCTCAGAAGCAATGATGCTGTGTGTCTCGCCAGCGATTTCACGACCAGTCGAATCCTGTATTCGACACCCTACCCACAGTTGGACAAATGTGATGTCACCGCGGTTCACGTACTAAGATGTGTATCAACATCCTGCAACGAAAGAAAGGCCTACCATTCCTCCCATAAAATGATGGCGGGCTGCAACTGCAGGGGAGAATCGAAAGAGCAGCCAAAGAGTTTTAAGGTGGCGGGTGACTCCAGAAACTGTGCACTCTGAAGAATTGGGGCGAAAGTGGGATAGAACTTGAGGGGTGGGATGAGTTCAGGTATGGAGTTGCCACCAGTTGATTTGTTGGAAGTGGGAGAGGTGGTGGTGGTGGTGAAGACGATAATTGTAAACATTAGGGCATAATGCGAGCCTTAAGTCCGCACCACGAACTGCAACCTGCAGTGGAACATGATACACCTGAAGTCCTGCGTCCACTACTATCGAACCAGCAGCCCAGTTTAGGCTCACGTGTTCTTTTTTTATGTTCTCTTTTTTATATATCTCTTTCATCCTTCAATTCCCTTTCCTCAGCGTTAAATTGAAAACTGAACGCTCGTTTTCAAGCAGGCGTGCGTAGTCTGCTTGAAAAGCCTTCATTCCTGGTGCAAAAGAAGAAAGTTTGACAAGGCCCAGAAGGGGCGACCCCTCACAATCGCTAGGCAGGATCCACATTACAGGAGCCCATATGCAACCACCGCCACTATAGCTCTGTATAGCAGGGTTTTCTGGTTCACCAGGTCGGAGCAGCCCAGCAGGGCTGCCTCCCAGTCCTCCCGGGTGGGGCTGGGTTTCGGGACAAGGTTGCGTTTTGGTTAGCTTGCACGCACCATATGGAAAAGGTTCGAATACGACTCCGCGCAGTGCGGGTATTTTCTAGCACAGGCAGGATCAAAGTGTTTAAAAACTGGTGGGCACATCAGTGCATTGGTATAAAGGCGGAGGCGTGTGCACTCATCTGTCTTTGTGAGGCCCTTACAGGGCTTAGGATAAATTACATGGCCGAATCAGTATAATTGAGTAGTCTCTCGAGAAGTGCAGACTAGATTGGGTTCGGGATCGATTTACGAAGTGTTGAAAGGCGTTGCCCGGAGAGTGTGCCTGTTGGGTAAGTTCAGAAAATGTGTGCCCACTCTTCCGACAAATCCCTGCTGTGGTCACCATTTCACCGGATTTCAAGGAGGATTAAAAAAAATGCTAGAGAGGGAGTTATGCTTCGAAATCGAAGCCAACAACATGGAACCTTTTCAGTGACAAGATATAACGTTAGCGGGTAGTGAAGAAAAGGCACTGTATTCCTCACACGTTCTACCAATTCCGTGCGCATAATCTTCTGAGGCAGAGTGCGCTCGACATGTGCCTCTGTATTACAAGTTTGCTGAAGATGCCTCAACATCTCGGCAATATTTATTGAAAATTTAGACATCAGTATTAGCCTCCGTAGGTTACCTTACTTTCTTCGTGAACCACAAAATATTTTTGAACACGAGAGTGTTTCATCATGCCGGGGTCCATTGCAGCTTCACTGACGTATATATATATATATATATATATATATATATATATATATATATATATATATATATTATATATATATCACACTCGCCGCCATGGCTTCAAATGGGACTGACTGACACTCATACGTTTAAATTCACACATAAACCAAATAAAATGGCTGGGGGGTAGCCGCCGTGATAGCTCAGTGGTAGAGCATCGAACGCGTTATTCGGTGGTCGTAGGTTCGATTCCTGCTCACGGCAAGTTACTTTTTCACGCACTTTTCTGTCTTCCTATTTACATTACATTGGTTCTAATAACTTCCCCTATACATTCCTTGGTATTATTGTCTGTTAGATCTCATTAATTTGGTGTCCAAACACGGAAAAACGAGCCCTTAGGTATACACTTCTTTCCCTTATTCATTAACGAGTGTCTCGTACTGGCAGACTTGGTGCCGTTGGTTGTATACGAGGAACTATTGGTCAGCTGCCAGCTCGTAATAAGTTCACGTGCTACGTGGTGCCATACATGCTCATAAAAAGAGTGTACCACACTCGCCACCATGGCTACAGATGGCGCTGACTGACGCTCCCACGTTTGAATTCACATATAAAACAAATAAAGTGGCTTGGAGATAGCCGCCGTGATAGCTCAGTGGTAGAGCATCGAATGCGTTATTCGGAGGTCGTAGGATCGATTCCTGCCGACGGCTAGTCATTTTCACCCACTTTTCTTTCTTCCTATTTACATTATAGTGGTTCTAATAACTTCCCCTATACATACCTTGCCATTATTGTCGGTTAGATCTCATTATTATTTTGTCCAAACACGTAAAAGCGAACCCTTAGGTATACGATTCTTCCCGATATATATATATATATATATATATATATATTGAGAGAGAGAGGGTGTTAAATGGGATATAATAGGGCTCAGTGAGGTTAGGAGGACAGATGAGGCTTACACGGCGCTACAGAATGGGCACGTCCTTTCCTATAGGGGATTGGCTGGAAGAAGAGAACTGGGAGTGGGGTTCTTAATTCACAGAAACATAGCTGTCAACATAGAGGAATACTATAGCATTATTGAAAGTGTGGTAGGTATCGTAATTAAACTGAATAAAAGATACAAGATGAAGAGGGTACAGGCTTATGCCCCTACATTCAGCCATGAGGACGCTTCAGTTGAAAGCTTCTATGAAGACGTGGAATCGGCCATGAGCAAGGTAAAAACACAGTATACTATACTGATGGGAGACTTTAATGCAAAGGTAGGGAAGAAGCAGGCTGGAGACCAGGCAGTAGGAGATTACGGCATCGGTACTAGAAACGCCAGAGGAGAGCTACTAGTAGAATTCACAGAACGCAATAATTTACGGATTTTGAATGCCTTGTACCGAAAACGAGGAAACCGCAAGTGGACATGGAGCCCAAATGGCGAAAACAAGGACGAAATAGGTTTTATAATGAGTGCACACCCAGGCATCGTGCAGTATGTGGAAGTGGTTAGCAAGATACGATGCAGCGACCATAGAATGGTACGGTCTCGAATTCGCCTAGACTTGAAGAAGGAACGACAGAAACTTATACGCAAGAAGCCAATCAATGAGCTAGCACTGAGACGGAAAGTACAGAAATTCAGAGTTTCACTCCAGAACAGTTACTCGGCTCTTAGTGAGGAAACCAACCTTAGCATAGATACAATGAATGATAATCTGACGAGTATCATTACGGAGTGTGCAGTGGAAGTTGGAGGTACGATACTTAGGCAGGACACTGGCAAGCTTTCCCAGGAAACAAAAAATCTCATCAAGAAGCGTCAAATCATGAAAGTCTCAAGTACAATAGACAAGATAGAACTGGCAGAGCTTTCAATGTTGATTAATAGGCGTAAGGTATCCGATGTAAGAAGGTATAACATGGAGAGAATGGGACACGCTCTGAAAAACGGAGGAAGCGTCAAAGCAGTGAAGAGGAAACTTGGGATAGGCAAAATTCGGATGTATGCACTAAGGGACAAAGAAGGCAAAATAACTACCAATATGGATAGGATAGTTGAAATAGCGAAGGAGTTTTACAGAGATCTGTACAGTAGCCGGAACAACCACAACTTTAATACTATAAGAACTAGCAGTAACGCAGATGAAACCCCACCAGTAGTGATAGAAGAAGCCAGAAAAGTTTTCGAGAGCATGCAAAGAGGCAAAGGTGCTGGTGAGAATCAGGTAACAACAGATCTGCTGAAAGATGGAGGACAGATTGTGTTAGGAAAACTAGCCACTTTGTTTACGAATTGTCCCCTGATGGGAAGAGTACCAGAGTCTTGGAAGAAGGCTAACATCATCTTAATACATAAAAAAAGGAAATGACCATAAAAAAAGGAGATGACAAGGACTTGAAGAATTACAGGTCTATCAGCTTGCTCTCTGTAGTATACAAGCTATTTACGAAGGTAATTGCTAACAGAGTAAAGAAAACATTAGAATTCAATCAACCAAAGGAACAAGCAGGATTTCGAACAGGCTACTCAACAATCGACCACATTCATACTATCAACAGGTAATAGAGAAATACTCAGAATGTAACCAACCACTATAGATAGCTTTCATAGATTACGAGAATGCGTTTGATTCCGTAAAAATATCAGCCGTCATGCAGGCACTGCGGAATCAGGGCGTCGATTAGGTATATATAAACATCCTGGAAGAAATCTGCAGGGGATCAATTGCTACCATCGTGCTTCATGAAGAAAGCAACAGAATACCAATCAAATAGGGTGTAAGGCAGGGGTACACAATCTCCCCAATGCTATTTACCGCGTGCTTACAGGAAGTTTTCAGAAGCCTATAATGGGAACAGTTAGGGATAAGAGTTAATGGAGAGTACCTTAGTAACCTGCGCTTCGCCGATGACATTGCATTGCTGAGTAACTCTGGGGACGAATTGCAACTCATGATTACGGAGTTAGACAAGGAGAGCAGAAAGGTGGGCCTTAAGATTAATCCGCAGAAAACGAAAGTAATGTACAACAACCTCGGAAAAGAGCAGCGCTTTGAGATAGGTAATAGTCCACTTGAAGTTGTAAAAGACTATGTCTACTTAGGGCAGGTAATAACCGCGGAGCCGAAACACGAAATTGAAGTAACTAGAAGAATGGGGTGGAGCACATTTGGCAAGTACTCTCAAATTATGAGAGGTACATTGCCTCTATCCGTCAAGAGGAAGGTATATAACAGCTGTATCTTGCCGGTACTTAGCTACGGAGCAGAAACCTGGAGACTTACAAAAATGGTTCAGCGTAAATTAAGGACGACGTAGCAAGCAATGGAAAGAAAAATGGTAGGTGTAACCTTACGGTACAAGAAAAGAGCAGAGTGGATTAGGGAACAAACGGGGGTTAAGGATATCATAGCTGAAATCAAGAAGAAGAAATGGACATGGGCCGGGCATGTAGCGCGTAGACAGGATAGCCGCTGGTCGTTAAGGGTAACTAACTGGATTCTCAGAGAAGGCAAGCGGGTTAGGGGGAGACAGAAGGTTAGGTGTGCAGATGTGATTAAGAAGTTTGCGGGTATAAATTGGCATCAGCAAGCACAGGACCGGGTGAACTGGCGGAACATGGGAAAGGCCTTGGTGCTGCAGTGGACGTAGCCAGGCTGATGATATATATATATATATATATATATATATATATATATATATATATATATATATATATATATATATATAGTTTTATTGGGCCAATATTCTTTTGACGGTACTTATTTGTGTTATCTGAATCATATAAATAGTTCAAATTGTTAGGCCCTGATGAATATTCATATTAAAATAATTATACATAAAGGCATTTTTATTGTTACGCTTTTCTTTCTTCTCTTGCGCATTTACATGTCTCTTTCACACATATGACTCATATTCAGTTATGAGTGATTGTCGATATCCGCTGACTGCTTCTTAGATGACGAAGTTGACACACGAAATTTTAATTGAATCAAAACTGTGTTGAACGAACATCCTGAGGAAACCCTATTATTTTATATCAGTTATTCCAACTTTTTTGTCAAAAAGAAAAAAAATCATCAACGCCTATGCTGACTTGATTATACGTTAATTTTTTATTTACCTAATTATTTATTTTTTATTTAATTAAGGATTCAATAACTAATTTATTTATTTATTTATTTATTCACAATACCTTACAGGCTCCTTATCGAGGCATTTTGTAAGGGGGCGATACATGGTAAAATATGACATCTGATAAATATAGAAAAAGATGAAATCGAAACGGTACAATCTGGAAAGTACACTGTGATGTAAACGACTGCCAGAAAAGCAAGAGTAACACCCCAGAAGAAAAATTAAACAAAGGAAGAGCGTGCACGAAACACAAACTTAATTGACATGAACAGTCAGTGATTATGAAATAAAGAAAATTTTGGCAGCGTTTACAATGCTACAATGTGACATGATACAACGTTAAACAATTTAAAACATAAGATAACACATCTAGAGAGAATGAATGAGAAATAACTACGTAAGGATGAAATGTTCGAGTAGGCGGTAGTGAAAAGCTTTGCGATTTGTGATCGAAGTGATATCGCCAGGGAGATCGTTCCAAAGCTAGATGGCATGTGACAGCGCAGAACAATTAAACCCCCTTGCATTGCCGAAGATGCGCTCGAAACTGCCCCGATTATGGAGCCGCCTAGACATGCGCAGTGGGGTTTCCAAAATGGAGAATGAGGCCTGGTATTTTGAACATATCCATGAAGCAGGCATAAAAGGGAAACACACCGGCGAACCTGAAGAGGGTGCAGCGAAAGTTCGAGTTTTATTTTTAGTATACTGAATTTTTGTTCGTAACTTCCGGTAATAAAACGAGCGGCACGGTTTTGAACAAGCTCTAAGTCAGTAATTAAGTAGTGTTGATAAGGGGACCAAATAGATGACGCGAATTCTAACTGCGAGCGAATGAAGGTAAGGTACCCTAACTTGCGAATGTTAGGTCGCTATTTACGAAGGTTACGAAGAGTGTATCCAAGCGTTTGGGATGCTTTAGCACAGATAGCGGTAATTTGGGGGCGCCATGAAAGATTGTGAGTCATGTTTATCCCTGGATACTTGAATGACTGAACACGAGATATGACAGAGTTGTTATTGACGTAGTGAAAATCAGAGTTCGATTGTTTGCGGATGAAAGAAATGAGTTTACGTTTACAGAGTTCTATAACATGAGCCATTTTCCTCCAGAGTGGGTATTAGCCTGTCACGTAGCACTTCAACTTCTACGTCTCGAGGTGTCGCGCGACTCGAGGTGGCTCGAGGACAGTAGTGCCGCGCGTTCTTATCGCGAATGTTCGAAGACCGCGTCGCTGCGCAGGAACGAGTCTTCGAATGCGATGAGCTCCTCCAAGTAAGTCGCAATTCGTCCAACCTAAGTGTGCGTGAGCCTCTATATCAGCGCCGTGTCTGTCGCGCCGGTGTCTTTTTCCTTGTCCCATGACGTGCTCGCGAATCCCAACTACATCTCCCCAAGCTCGTCTGACCCACTGCGGTTTTTTCCCTGTTTTTCCAGCACCACTCCCCGCTCGACGAAGTACAGCGCCGAAGAATACACCAAGTTCAAAGTTGATGTCGCTGGGGGCGTATCGTGAGTAAATGGAGCTACATCTCTACGTTGCTGGCCGAAATCACTGGAGGGTGCTTCGATTACGTTTAGCTATATCAATATGACGCAGATTGTTGTAACTTAAAGGTGACTCGCACCACTTTTTCAGCATGGTCTGAAAACGCTGCCGGTCGGTAGTCGAGGATCCTGAGGAAACGCTAGCCAAACCATATAGCGCAGCACGTGGCCTGGAATTTGCAATTAATTCCCTAAGTCAGCAAAAAATTGTCCCCTATTATTTCTACAGATGATGTCATATGCCCAATGACCACGCCATAAACCTTTATTCACGGCCGTTGGCTGACTTGAGCATCGAGGGCAGCATAATGAACTGCGGGAGACCACCACGTGCCCAGTGTTCATTAAGTCCCTAGAAATAACTAAAGTAGGGCTATTCATGTCAGTATCAATGTGACTAATACCTTGGATTCCTTGTACTTGGTAGTGCAAGCGCCATCTTGTCCGTCCTCTGTCGCGTGTTTTATTTTGAAGGGAAAGAAGAAGGATGGAAGGAAGAGCCTGGAAATTGTGGCACACGCTCACGCTGGGGGATTGGTCAAGAACCGGGTAGTTCTAAGGCAATACTGGTAATTTGTTAGCCCATGTTTTTTAAGCTAATGAGAGAGATCAAGGGCAAAAATAAATATAAGAAATGAACAATCAGAACTAACGGATGTAGAAAATGAAACAGATGGTGTCAGCAAGAAAAATAAATAAATGAACGAATAAAGCAATGATGAAAAAGTGGTTTAGTAGTACTAATATGTTCTACAGTCTGAGTTCTTTTTTTTTTGCTTGTGCCACGGCCATCGAAGCAAGCGCACGCTTCAACACTACATCATCTTACCCTCTCTTTGTGCGCAAAGAGTGTGTATGCCTGTGTCAGCAGTTTCCTGGCGGACAGCACACAGGTCTTGCTGCAGCTGCGGCTGCTGCTGCTGCTGGGGAAGAAGGCCGAGGCGACGAGGCGTGGTTGTCCCTACTATAGATTTTTTCCCTAGAGGCCCTAGACGTTCACAGTGAAAAAGAGCCGCGTCTTCGAAGAAAAAAAAAGTGCTCAAGGTCATGACACACTCGTGACGTAACTTCTTATCCTCATGCCATCCCTCCCTGCTTAGCTTCCAACACGCTCGCTTGGACGAGAGGAGAGAAAAAGCAATCACAGCGTGCGCCAAACCTCTGATTCCGCTCGTACATGATGAATTCTAAAATTTATTGCAGCAATAGATTTGGAGGCCACAAACTCCTTTAGTGAGGCCATTCGATAGTTACTTCAAGAAGTGTGGCAGGGCCCTTTCAATGCAGAACTGCCGGCAGATCACAATGTCGGTAGTAGTTGAGGACATGAGATTTTTACCGGCAGTAAGCCTTTTCAGACAAGGCGCCGCTGCGCATTTCAAGTAGTGCGGCTTTCTTGACAGGCTTGTAAAAGCAAAAACGTGTTTGTGCCCAGCTTAAAATTGTCCCTTGATCGATTAATGCTTCTCCGATTGGCTTGCAATTTTCTCCTTGATAGTTGGGCTTTGATTATATCGAAATACGTGAGAAGTTCAAGAATTTATTCAGTAACTAAGGAGTCGCAAAATTCAGTAACTAAGGAGTTGCAAAATGTATGAGAAATTGAGAAGTTTTTTTTTTCTGAAAGAGCCAAATGCACTTTAAATAAAACTGAGAAAAAGGCACTTTTTTCTACTGAAAATATGGATGGGCCTGATGAAACAGCTTTTTGCCAGTATGTTCCCCTTTCCCAAATACCACAAATCTATTTTGTGGCTAAAATCTACATAGCCCAATATCGCCTGTATTTGGCTCATATAGATCGAAACATTTCATTTGGACATGAATGAGTTCGTGAAACAAGCGTAAACCAGTTCGAATGTACCGTATAGCAATATTTAGCGATATAGGTGAGATCATACTTGTGCTTCTGTCGCTGCCATGCTTCTACGCATAGGCGTACTGGTGATTACTAAAATTGAAGAGCGAGTCGTCTTTCCTGGCAAAAGGGGCACTATTCTGGACTGTCACCAGTGTTTTATTCTTCCTGGCATCAAGTGAAGTCCTTGAAACGTGTTCCAGTTAGTTTTATGACATGCCGCTTCTAATCACTTCTTCCACTTCAAGGAATAGGTAGATTCCCGATATCTTTATTTCATGCCCATTTGATTTGAAATATAACGAGTTAGAGGACAAGACTGAGGACAAGATACTTTTGCGCTTAAGTCTTAACGAATCACTAAGATGCAAAAAGAAGTAAGCAAGTCAGCCTCTTACCCTTTACAATCGCGTTTGGTCGTTGAACATGAGGTCCCAAAGTAAGTGCCAACTCGCGCTAGAAAACCTAATTGTGGATCGTAAATCGATAACAAACCAATTAAGACACAAATGAAACATTTTGGATGGGACTATGTTGGTTGTTTCGATCATGTTTGTTGGCAAAGTACTGGTTTAACGAATGTGGGTCACTATGATTGAAACAGCTTGTAGTACTTAGCTCACTTTTGATTAGAAACTGCCGTTTCGAGTTGATGTTGCAATAAGGAACGGCCCCATTTTGATTTTAACTGTTCTAGAAATTAAAATAATGAGGCATACTTTACATTTCACGAAAATTTAGCCTCCTTTCGGTTTCTGCATATGACGTTTTTTTAAAAAAAAAACGCCTCAATTGTCTGCTTCGAGTATTGTCTGCCTCAAGTGAATCCGCGCGGCTCTTAGATATTTTTAAATTCTGGCACAATTTACGTAAGTCACCAGGTATGTGTAGTATGTATTCGACGAATAACATCACAAATCACCTGACCAATCACTATGTTCGTTGTGAATCCTATGTACACATGTTTCTTTCGTGACGGCAGCCTAATGCTCTCACATAGTATAATATATCGTACTCCGAATCGTCGAACAGTTTCTTCCAAACGCAAAACGAGGACTTCGAAGTAAAAGCTAAAGACCGTGAAGTGGGGGTTGTATTAGAAAAATTTATGCCCTGTATTAAGAACACAGAGACGGCAATGAGTATGCAAAAGAAAGATGATGATTATGCAACTGTATATGTCAGATCAGTATGATTAAATAGCTGTACAAACTTCGCACGCATCATATACCGGTATCCCGGTGGAATAATGGAATGGCTTCTAACGGAAAAAGAACGCTCAATTGAGGCCTGCAGATCGTATTGAGCAGCAAATTTGCTCGTACCATCTATGTGCTGGGCGCTTATAACAACGGCCCGTGCTTGATAATGCACCTAACTGATACGATCGCGCTAGAAATTTTGAAAGAGGTATGTATACGCAATCTCTTCTAATGTCATTTTAAATTTGCTTGCAGACAAAGGAAGAGCGAGTCCTACGATTACCTGGTTATCTGCGCCGTGCTCATCACAGCAGGTGGGTGACGTGTCACGCGCCAACCATTAAAAAAAAGCAGGTTTCTCATGTGCAGTGACGACAAAAGTCCGCCTTCTCCCCGGCGTGAATTAGGGTGTTAAGGTGGCCGTTATCATGAATTATAAGGCATAACAGCAATTTGTAATTACTGGGAAAAATAATTCCGCGAGTTTATAGAACCGAATGTGGTCGAAGTACTCAGAGGTCTCAACTACGGCGTCTCACAATCATATGGTCGTTTTGGGACGTTCAAAGCGAACAATTATTATGTTAAATATCACATCTTCAGATGTGGCAACTGTACCACATCTAAAGACGCACGATTCTTTCATTGCATGATATTTGGATTCAAATTTGGTATGGTAAATACCAATGAGCGCAATCAAAAAACTGCTATTGATAACTTTTTTGTCAACAAATATGTTTGTCTTCTACTGTTTAATAGCTTGAGCGGCCCGGAAGCAGATGTTATAAACCAAACTAGTTATTCAACAGGTGTAGATTATTCAGGACAAGAAGCATAATGAGGTAATGCCAATTGGTCCGGCATCTTCGAAATGTTTGCCTCGTTTCACGCCTCCTTGTGGACACTGCAAAAAATTTCTTGTTTAAACAACCCGAAGGTACTGGGCATTCAGCTTTGTGTTCCCGTCAACCGATCATGTATTAAGAGGGCGTTGCGTAATGATTCGCGCGTTGATCTGTCAGTTGACCAGCGGGATAAAACCAGCCATCTGTCATCAATAAGACACTTTTACTCGATTCTACTGCATGATCATCACAAGTGTAGACGGAGCCTTTTTGATAATCTGTCCCTCACGGCTCAGACAGACCGAGACGGAACGCTTTTCGACTAAACGCACCTCTACGAGAAATTCGAGGAATGCCATGAATGACTGGCTAAACCTCTTTTCGCGGTCCTGTAACTCTGAGCCCATGCTTAATCCGCACACAGTCTTGCTTGCCGGATCTGTTTCGTGCCCGGCTAGTGCTTGATTTATGTGTCGGGCATCCTTGGCTGCCACGCTAAGAAACAATTTTATGATGAGGACTATGCAGCTTGCGGAGCTAAGTGAACTATACTCAAGTTCATGCATAAAATGCAACGCTATAAAAGCTAGAGAGACTGAACTTTTTTCCGATGGTGCATTCGTACAAAGAAAATAGTTCGAAGATTTTATCACCCGTAATGTGATGTCTTCTTTTTGTATGAAGTTCTTTTATGCCTTACAAATAAACAAGACGTTTTTTTCATGGTTGTGATTAGATTGTTTTAGATTTCTTAGCGTCTCCTTGTTAACGTACTGTGGCTTCCGCAATCAGTTTTGACAGCATTCCACCGGAGCCAGTCACGGAGGCTGCATTAACAACGAGGAAGTCCAAGCGCGAGATGTGCGGACTGACACGTTTTGTTGACCAAACTTCTTGAATAACCTCCACAGCGTAGCATCTGATGCCCCGCCGCGGTGGTATAGTGGCTAAGGTACTCGGCTGCTGACCCGCAGGTCGTGGGATTGAATCCCGGCTGCAGTGGCTACATTTTCGATGGAAGCGCAAATGCTCTAAACCCGTGTGCTCTGATTTGGGTGCACGTTAAAGAACCCCAGGTGGTCGAAATCTCCGGAGCCCTCCACTATGGCGTCTCTCATAATCATATGGTGGTTTTGGGACATTAAACCATATATATCAATCAATCAGCGTCGCATCAGATATTAAAGTAAAATATAGGATGCCGTCGTCAATCCACCCTTACGTCTCAACGCACCACGTGTCCACTTTGCTATTGGGGGAACAAACCAGGATGTCGTGCCGCTGGCAGGCCTTCAGTGATGCCGGACGCACGAACGAAAAAAGGTGGTCGATGCACAATGACCATGAAATAGGAGGCAGCAGATACCATCAGGGGACGACTGAAGGACTTTTGGCTGGTTATATACAATCGAGCTACGTTGCAATTGTGCACGTAACACAATAGAAGCAGTAGTAAACAACTTTATTGCACACAATAGATCATGACCATGATTCGTTTCGCCACCCTAGCTGACAATGGACAAGATACGCAATTTTTTTTTCGTAGTAACCATATATACACAACAAGAGACCTGCAGTGGAAGTGGAAGCGTTTGTATTTTGCGTATGCTAGGAAGGCCCTGTAGCTCTTAACAGCAGTTCTTTTTCCTATTTGCAGTGGCCTTGAAAAAGTTGCAGCGCCGGATCCGCTTTCCGTACACAGTGTTCATGTTCATCGCGGGCTTCGGGTTCTCGTATCAGGACGCGGAGAACGAGAAGAGCCTCGACTCACTTTCAGTGTGGCTGCGAAACATCAAGTTCCATGTCCTCATGGTTTTCGTGCCGGCGGCGACAGTGTACGCCACGCAGGGCATCAACCACTTCATCTTCCGCAGGTGTTTACATGCCACACGCTGGCGATCTCGTTGACCACCACTCGAGATCGAGCGATCGCGTGGTAACTTACGACGCGGAGTACCTTTATTTTCTTTCCTCCAGACGCAATGTGCTTCCCGTTTTTTTTTCGTCTATGCCGTGAATGTGAACTTCATGCATTTGCCTAGTAGCGTGATGCGGTCACGCGTTCATATCTAGGCAACAATGAGATGTACGAACCAAAAGAGACATGTCACCTCGATGAAAGATTCGCCTAACGATCACATTGACGTATAAGAAACTGATGATCGCCGACAAGCACAGAAGTGGGAGAGTAGCGGTTATTGGAAAACGGTGCATTCAAATACACAAGGAACCAGCGCAGCTTGTCGGGCTGCTTGCGGGGTAATCGTTTCTTTGCTCTTACGGGTGCCGGATTTTCCGCGTATGACGCCACCAATCCTGTGAAAGTCTCCCATAGTAGAGTACGATGTACTCTAAATCGTTAAACACTTTTTCTAAACCAAGTCTACACCATATGTCGAAGCGCACGTAGTGCTTTTAATCGTCCACCACTTTTTATAAAAACACTATAACGAGCTCTTTTCAAACGTAATTGAAGTAGGATTGTTAGCAAATCCTGCTTAGCGTTTTGTTTAGTGTCGGAGCTCTTTGTGCGCCATATATTTTTATACTGCTCATATTTTTCTTTCATTTTTAGATGCCACCGAGAGATCACGGTCTTCTCCGTGGGAACCCTAGGCATCAGCACGGTGGTGTCGGCACTGTATGCGTACACCTTCCTGGGCACCAAGGGCATCAACAACTGCTTGCTATTCGGCATCCTGCTTTGTTCCTGTGAGCGGCTGCCCATCGCCGATGAGCTGCTCGAGGAAGGCCGCTTTCCCATACTGACCACGATGTTGCAGGCTGAGTCCATCGTCAACAATCTGTTCGTCTGGTCCGTCCTTGACACAGTCGAGGCCCATGTACGAATGTTCTGGAATAATGAAATCAGCCAAGTTGCTGGCGCTTGCGTTAAGATCGGAAAATGAGACGCCTGAATTCACTAATTCTTTAGTGTGTGTTGTTTTGCAAAAGCAAAGGAAAATATCATTAATTTTTATTTCCTGATGCACCTTCACTCACAAGCTTCATTCAGTAAATGTTTTTCTCTCTCTCCCCTCCCCCCTGATGGCTCAGAAAATTCCGTATGCTTCCATAATAATGATTCAATATGTTATAAGTTTGCGCTGGTGATAGTAAACGCACTTCGCAATCGAATCATCGCACATTATGCTGGGACATGTGGATAAATTTTTCGCGGTCTGTAACGCGCCATTATAACGCACTAGGAGAGAACATGGCGTGGCGATTGCACATGCAGCTAGGGCTATGCTCCGAGACTCACTGCCACTCTACTGGGACGTTTTTTGTAGGAAGATAGGTAGTCAAGAATGGCGGGGCGTCACAAAGACACTTTTGTTGTTGTTTTAGGTCGGCATAAGATTCGCGCCTTTTGGTATTTCAGCCCCTGCCACAATTTCATGTTGCGATTGCAGATGTGTGCGATGAGCTTGTGCAAGTAATGAAGGGCGTCAGGAAACTTTGATCACAGAGTAACATTATACTTCGATCTTGACTCTCTTGTGTACAATCATCATCATCATCATCATCATCAACCTGGCTACGCCCACTGCAGGACAAAGGCCTCTCCCATGTACCACCAGTGAACTCGGTACTGTGCATGCTGCCACTTTATACCCGCAACATTCCCAATCTCATCTACTCACCTAACTTTTTGTCTCCCCTTCACCCGCTTGTCTTCTTAATCAGTATATTACATAATAACACACGCAAAGTACTTAAAAAGGGAGCGATAAGTTATCGTGGTTGCTGTCTCGAACAGTGCATTGTTGCGCCATTAGTATAAGCTATAAACTCGTGTGAAGTGATACTGTATGAGACGCCCAGCAAGCACGCCGAACAACGCACAAGGCCGTATCTTCTCGGCTACACTTTCAAAAAATATCGAGTGAAAAGGGTGTCTTTTCGTGCTACGAAAATAACCATCCGGCTTGCTTGAGCTTCATTTCTTGAAAACTCGGCGCTGGCCACCTTCCTATCAAAAAGAGCCATGTCACGCCGATAGCGCACATGTCGTTCGTAACCTGAAAGTGCCGGGCGCGTGGGGATAGTGCAAGGAAAGGCACGCGAGATAGATGACAATTACTGTTGTGGAACAAAAACACACACGTTTTACTCGATGTTTTGTTTGAGTGTACTCGAGGACATCCCAAGAATCCACCAGTTCCTCTAGTTTGGACATTTGGATTGCTCCGTGGTAACTGAGGTGTGGTCTTTTTGTGCTCAGGAAAACCAGGGCGTGACGACCATTCTGAACCACCTGCTGGTGTCGCACGTGATGGGCACTATAGGCGGCGTGTTCATGGGAGCCGTGGCCATCTGGTCGCTGCGCCTGGCGCCCCAGAGTCAGAGCAGCAACACGTTCTTGCACATCTGCCTGACATACGCCACCTTCTGCCTGCTCGAAGTGATGGGCATCTCGGGCGTTGATGGCGTGGTAGCCTTCACGCTCCTCACCACCTCGCACCGCCTGGTCGCCTGCACCGAACTCGAGGGCCTGCTGCGCAAGTACTGGTCGGCCATTTACGACGTCTCGGGTTTCCTCTCGCTCTTCATGTCATCGTTGTACGGCGGCGAGCTGCTTTTCATCTTCGCCCGCACGAGCATCCTGCCGCAAGTGAGTGGCATTGGCAACACTACCGGTGTTCATGTTAGCGTCCCGTTCACTCTCGAGGATACGGCATTTATACATTTTCTAAAGCATGCCGTGGTACTTAGGGTAAACTGTTCTGAAAGGAGAGTAAGGAAGATAACTTCGTCTTTAGCTAGAAGCGAGATGTTTGGGCTACTTGACTCAGCCTAATTCAAGGTAAACAGCATGTATTTTTTTAATACAGTGACAAACTGGAAGATAATCTGTCAGGGCATACGCTATTCTTTATCTTTCTGGTGTACAGAGGCCATGCGACCAAGCCACGTGTCTCGCCTTTAACTAGGTTCTTAAAACAGGGTAGTGCTAAAGAACTAGCTAGTTCTTTAGCACTACCCTGTTTTTTTATCACTGAGCTTGTTGAACTCACTCTTTTGTAGAAAGCTATCGGAAACAAATCCACTTAAAATTGCATCGAATGAACCTCTAGCTTTACCAGTGAGAACAGAAAAGCAGCCCCGATATAGAGACTGTCTCCACAAAGGCAGTACCTTTCTGTATGGCCAATGCTTAGGTACGAATATATATATAACTGTATGCGATCTATAAGCAGACACCGCCATTGCGAAGCTTGGTAGTTGGTTTCCGCGAAGTGTATGAAAAGCGAAGCATATACACTCTATAAACATCATTCACTAGCTCACCCGACAAGACTTCGTACGCGTTGATAATGACGAATTGAGCGCAGTGTTATGGGTGTACATTGTCGGTGAATATTCGTTCTTGGCTCAAAACTGTCACAGGTGGCGTTGGCATACGTCGTGCGCATCCTGGCACGACTGTTCTCGGTAGTGGCCCTGTTCCCGATTATCGAGCAGTTTGGCTACCCCGTGTCGTGGCGCCAGGCTGTGGTTACGGTGTGGATGGGGCTCAAAGGACCGCTGAACATCACCGTCGTCACCTTCCTCTACCACCATCAGTCGACTATCAACGTTGAATACGTCGGAGGGGTAAGCTACCGATGGAATGACATTAAAACAGTTGGGAAGAATTTAGGATAACATTTTTGAGATAGTTGCTCGGTATTCATGATAAATGTCTGGGTGTGCTAACATAGATGCAAGAGAGAAGTAAGAACACAAACGCCAAGAACAAAACTCGCCAATGCTTTTACGCTGGAATGGAATGGCTTGTTTCAAGTTTGTTTCTGGAAACACAGTGATGTCAGTTTTTCTTTTCTTTTTTTTTAGAAGAAGAGGTACGTCCTTGTGTTATACAAACTACATCTACGCTCATGGCGCTTACGAGCTGTCTTGACTGGTTTGCATATACCAAAAATGTCGTTTTCACAGAAACTCGTACAGCCTGGCTCACTTCTACAGTGATTAAGCGTGAAAGTATGTGAATCTGTTTGAACGTAAACAGATGTCTGTAACACACTTTGTCAGAACATTGCAGACAGGGCGAAGAATGCACTCGACACAGAGCTATATCATGTGTGTACGTCTTTTCGCTATCTGCGTTGTTCTGCCCCAACGTTCATGAACCAATTAGCCCACCTAGGAATCCGCCTGTATAGCGATACGCATCGACGTTACACTCGAAAAAGGGATGTATGGAGATAAGATGGTGCCTTAAAACCGTTGGAACGTGAAAGCACAGAAAGAGATGAAGAACACGACGAGACAAGCTGGCACTTACAACTGATCAAAGTATGCTTGAAAGGAAGACTTATACCCGCCGGCAACCACTTTGCGCATGCGTGAAGCAGCCATGCTCTATATACGTAAAACTTAATCTTAACGAGTTATCACGGCGTCTAGAAAGTTAATCTCCGACTGGTTTGTTTCTCACTGTTTTTTTTACCTATTGCGACATGTACGAAGTAGCCCAGTTCATTGCCGTGGTACATGAAAACTTTAGACGTTACCGAAACGTTTCGGGTAAAGCAGAGGCTTCTCACAGAGTTTACGTATACGGGGAGGACACAGAGCAGAGAATTCGTTTGTTCACGTGAATGGTGCGAAAAAAGCTTGCTCTAAGATCTTCAACAGTACGAACGATCCCAATTTTCCACGCGTTTTGATCATAACGCGTGTTATGACACAATAGCGTGTTTCGCCTTGCACTATCTTCACCTCTGTGTATGGCTTTGAACGGGAGAATGTGCCTACTAGACTTAGTATTTCTTTTCCTTTTTGCAGACGTTTCCATACATCGTTTGCGACATACTCCTGGGCCAGTTGATAAACGTCACTTTCCTCGAAATAATCTTTAGGACTCTCGGTAAGAAATATTTACGAAGTTGTGTCAGTTACTGCAAGCCAATGCTACAACTGGTAAAATAAGGAGTTGAAGTTCTGAATGCCTGTTTCTGCTTGCTAGATATAGAAGCTGGATATAGCTAAATGTATACGTACAGCCTCTACGGCGATACCACGGTATCAGTGGCATAGAGGGAAGACGCACTGCTTCTTGAATGTATACGACCATATCTCGGAGACGCTGTGTGCTAAGTATGCGCGTTGCAGTCCACAACATTATTGCAGCTTTTATAAGCTGGCGTAAGGGGGCCAGTAACGGTGCACACATTTTTTTTTTAAATGCGCATGCATTCTTTAGTCGGGTTATGTCAGGCGTCCGACGGAATCCGTCCACCACCCTCTCGTATATCAACAGCTGCGGATGCGCGCGCTTGTACTGGCCCCTAGCAACCAGAACATGCGGTGCGAGGAAGTGTAACAGAGGTTAAGTGCAGTGCTTCGCCGCTCCTTCTATCCCCGTTCACTCTTTCGTCTCCCTGCGCCCCACTTTCCCGTCTGCTCGCGCCTCACTCTCGACCAGTTCGCTGGCTGGGCGCCTCGAGAGAATATTCAGAAATGTGTGCTCGAGACGTCGCTGTGAAGCGCCGACGTCGATCGGAGAATGCTTGTTGTTTTGTTCACAGTATTTTTTACCGTGCACGCTATACTTTCTTGGCACTGAAGGGAAAGCTACGGAGGTGGAGCTTCTGCACATGTAGCACTACGTGAAGTAGTCCGTTTCGGCACGGGTCTCGTAACGTAGAAAGAGACGGGGGTGCACCATCAGCGTTTTATGCAGACGCAGATACCACTGAGCGTTTGAGTTGCACGTAAAAAGGTGGGACGTTCTTATGCATTCAAAAACGCGAAGTCACAACAGATAAATGAAAAGAAATACGGATATCTTACTGGTATGTGCTGCGTCCTGTCTCAAATAGCTCCACGTAGAAAATAAAGGACGGGAAACATTCATATTTCACGTTTAAAATACGGGTGCTACTTAGGAACTTCCTTAATTGGCGGTAAGATGGACGCGAATTGGCTCCGTAGCTTTCCCTTCAGTGCCCAAACATTGTTCACAACGCGGTTCTCGCTACAGAAAAATGCCCCGTGCCGCGTACGGCCCTATTGGCTGCACGCCGTAAGAAAAAAAAAAAGAAAACACATTCTTCTAACGTTTGGTTCTAACGTGCGAAACACTGTTACAGACCCTGCGTAATGCATTCGCATTTCCTCACGATTCTCTTCGGGGAAGTCGGGCCAGTTTTTTAAAACTTCTTTGACCATTTGCGGAAAAGTGAGCGCCCCCTGTCGTGTAAACAGGAAAGCTTCGCTTTTGGTTGGAAAACATCTTCGTCAACTAACACGTAACCTCGACGGTTCGCCAGGCTCATTACGCCTGCTCTTTTAAGAAGAACATTATGTTATACACTTAAAGTTGAACCTTGAAATGTCTGTCGATTAACTATAGGTTCAGTGAGGACGGCTTGTGCACCGTCTGTGAGGTACGGTGTTTGCGTGAAAACGGCAGTGTTCGCCGTTACTACGGGTCATATTGATGGAACGCCAGGCTGATGTTTTCCAACCAAAACCAAAACGCCTGTACAGGAAGGCTACCTGTGCGGTTACTGCTCATGCGCAGTGGTTTTCCCGCAAATGGTCAATTATGAGACTATTTTTGCTGCATGTTTGCTCTACAAAAAATCTCGCGCGCACACGCTTGCACACGTGCACACAGACACGTAACATTGTTCCGCCCTAGAATTGTGCCCATGTGTGGCGCACTCCATCATGAACATTTCTTTGGTGAATATACAATTGTCTCGAAATTATACCTAAATGTGAGGCTGGTGCGTCCGGCGTATTTTGTTGTCAGCGTGCTCGCTGCTTGATATTAAAGCAGCTGCATCTGTGACGTGTTCAATGTACAATTGCGAGTTTTAAAACAGCGAACGCACAGATAGCGTTCGTTGCCGTCGCCTTCTATTTCGGTCATTTATTCGAGGCCAGAACGAGGATATCATAGGAAGCATACGTAGGGGCGGGAAACCATAACGCAAAGCTTTGCGTACGCGATTCTAATCTCCGTAATTTTAAGATCAGAGCACGCTTCGTGCTGGCGTCTGTCACTACTGCACATGCATACATCCACGTGTAATGACGAAAATAAAACCGTAACCAAAAAAAAAACCACTATATTTGCGGTTCTTTATTTTTAAACAGCCTAATAAATATTCATTTGTACGGTAGGGTAATACACAGTCGGTAACTGGTGCTTCTAGCTCAAGATAAGCGCATGCGGTTACAACGCCTACCAACGCTACGACCTTCATTTCGTCATCGCTACCGTCCTCTGCTTGCGATTCGCAGGAGTACTGGAGGTGTCCGAGATTGAACAGCGCACCATGTCGAGCGCCGTGACGTACCTGAAGGACCACGTGATGGTGTCCAGTCGAGTCCAGGAGGCCGACTCGTACTTCCGGCCGGTCGACTGGAAGTGGGTGCTGCGCCACACCATCATCCAGAATCCGTTCGAGTCGGGACACAAACCGTGGGTAAGTGGCCCTGCATACGTATTGCTTAGGTTTTACGTCCAAAAACCACGCTATGCTTACGACGAACGCCGTGGCGGAGAGCTCAGGAAAATTCGGATAACCTCCATGGGGTTCTTTAAGCGTGCACCTAAATTAAGTACAAGGGCTTGTAGCGTTGCGCATCCATAGAAATGCGGCCGCCGTGGCCAGGATTTCGAACCCGCGACCTTCTGGTCAGCAGTTCGAGCACTGTAATAACTGGCCACCGTGGCGCTTACACAAACTTACAGAGAAATAAAGAAAACTACTAAGTTGAACGGTAAGTGCAAATAGGCGTAACGCTACCGAGAACCTTTATATATCGGCTTTTTACCAGCAGTACACCACCAGGCCTGCACGGAATGCGCCTGCACAGTGACAGCGAAAGCTGAAAGAGGGGCCTTTCAGAGCCTTTTTAAGGGGAGATGCTACTCGAAGACACCTCTTTTAATATTCATCCTAGAGCAATGAAATTTGAGTTGTTTATGAAACATTTTATGCTGATTTCAAATATATAACTAGTTTTCTTGCAAGTTACACACTTTTAGCTCTGCAACATGACAAAGTGATAACTTTAACCCTTTTGCCCCCTTACCCCCCCTCTTTTAATCCCTAAACGCCTGTAATTTTTTACCCTTCAAAGTTCATATTGCTTCAAATAAAGTGTAGAGTGCAAATAACTAATTAGAAAGCAAATACAAAATATGTAATACGCGTGAAAAATAATAAACGTGAAAAGTCCATATCTCACCTACTGTAGTAAAGGTATACTTACATTTTTTATTATAGAATAAAATATCGAAGTTTTAACTAGATAATTGCATTTGTCATACTTTGGGAAAAAATTTGGGCAAAATTTCATGAAGATTCGAGCAATAGAAGTGCCCGAAAAAGGAGGGGCACATTGAAAAAAAAAGGGCAGAATTTGTGTTTTGAGAAAAAAACGAGTTTAAAAGTTAAAATTGAGTTTTATTTGTGAAAGATAATCATTAAATCAGATGAAATTTGCCACACCAAAAAGAACAATTCTTCTTGTAGTGGCCACTGCGTCTAAAATACGGCAGCACTTAGAGTTTGTCACTCTCGGCTTTTTCGAGCCGACTCCTCACAGACATTTCGCTCACAGACAGGGCCATGAAACGCCTTTCAAACTTCTGCTCCATCTGGCAGAGCCTTGTCCCAGCTGCAAGCTAGGAAGAAGTTCGACAGGACTGCGAAATCCAAACTAGGTCCAGCGTCATGCCATTTTGCAGCCATGTTTGTGCCACATACCGTCGTACATAATGGCAATGTCGTCCCTGCTAAGTTCTCTTAATGCGAGCTCTTTCGACCTCTCAAGATTGGCGCTGACGTCATTCATTGCCGCTGACGGGTGTGAATGATTTTTGATGCACTGGATTTTGCAAGCCAACAACTGCCGCAAATCGGACCAGCTGCTCGTAGCCTATTCCTACAGAGCGCACCGCACAGCGGCTTTCACCTGCGAGCAATGCCTTTTTTCATTCACAACACAGATAATTACACGAGAAAAGCATTGTTCAGCTGCACTGATCGACAAGACATGGACCCCGCAAATAGGTTTCTTAGCACATACAGGCGCTCAGCGGCCAATGGCGCTCCCCGATTCGTACCACGTGATAAGCCAGTCGCGGCGCTCGAAAAACGCGCAGAAGAGTGCTTCTTTTTATTATTTCTTGCGCTGCATCAGTGAGAGAAACTGTTGTTATTTGAAGAGTGAGGCGCGACTCTTCGACTCATGCGATCAACAATGGCGAGCAGTGGTGCGTTATTGGCGGCAAGGTGCTCGAAGACTGCACACTTTCGACCTTTTAACAGGCACCTTGTGCTCATTAAAATGCAATTTTAAAGCGTTTCCAGTTAAGTCTCGACCTGTATTATTTTTTTTCATAAGAGTAGAGGTACTAATCTTATCAAAACAGGTTAAAATAAAGAATCAGTAATTTTGAAAAAAAAAACTCGCGTTTTTCGACCCGCATCTCCCCTTAAACACTGAGTGAGTGCTATAAGCGCATTTGCAAGGTACCCACTGCGCCATAAATCATAATTTTTGTGTACTTGGAAGGCATTCATCATGCAATCCTTCGGCACTCTTCGGAGAAGTGTCATGCCCGCTGCACACTTCAAGGAATTTTGGGCGATGACGACGATGAAGAATTATGCCTAGCAATATGGTAATGGGTTCTACCATTCGACGACCTGCTCGTTACGCATTTCGCATTGTGTGACGTCTGGCTGTTCTTTTGCTGGTCTAAAGTGCCTTATTAGTAATTGCATGCAATAATGAGATTCCTTTCCTGGCACGAAGCCTGCCTAGGGTAAGTTTGGAACGTAGTGCCAAGCACTGGCGTAGCTCAGTGGTAGAATAGCGGGGTGGCACGCAGGTGATCCGGGCTAGATTCCCATTGTGTCCTTGGTGTTTTAGGGGCGAAGCTCCTTTTAGGCTAACTTGTCCTGCGTGTGACGTAACCGAGAGAAGAAGAGACCAGAAAAAAAAAGAAGGCAGTATCTCCCGAACAGCATAATAGATGGCACTGTCTCAGAAGTACATACAAACTGCAGTTAAGTGAGGACATTTTAGATGGAGCCGTACCGCTACTCTCCGATTGGCTGTTGCGCGGGTTGTGCGTGGGTGCGCGAGGAAGAAGTGCCTTCCTCAGCCTCCTGAGTAGTCACCGTACGTGGCGGATTGTTGGTGGGACATGGACGAAGCAGAGCGGCGGGCGCGTTGAAGACGCTTGCACTCGGCTTCCTTGGCTCGCGTCTCGTCGGCATTAGCCGCACGCCGTCTGCATTCTGGAACGCAATCAGACGCATGGACGGACGGACGTTTCGCCCCACTCATCATCATTCACTCCATGGATATGCTCTGACTTTTTTTGCTTAGTTTTTTGCTCGTTTTGCCCGATAGCGGTTACGGGCAGCAGCGGCAGCGGCGCTGGCGGACAGCTACGGCGCATGCGACCCTCGTGGTGATCTCGTGACAACCTTAGCTCTAAAAAATACCTTTCTAGAACAAGCAACTTGCTGACCGCGGACAATCTTACAGCGACCCCATTCCACCAGGTGATATCGGTGATGCCTGCTTTAGCAATGTGAAGGATTGGCACAAGTGCAGTTTTTTTTATTGCGATAGCAATTATGTGGACACTCTTGGCTAGATTTTGCCGCCGGCGTCGGCGTCACCGTCACTTACCTGTATATGTATACGTATCTATATATATGAAAATGCAAGAAGGAAAAAAAAACTAAGAAAAAGACTTTGGCGCGCGAATCGAACTTATAACCTTCTTCGCGGTGAGTGCAAGGCGTTAACCACTGAGCCACCAGGTGGCACGTCCTTCAACGTACAAACAGGAAGCTATTTATATCTGCCACTTACCGCTGGTGATGAGCATCTCGGAGGAGAACTGTCCTGTTCTCAACATTAACATCAAGATGGAGCAATGAGCGTGCGGTGGCGCACGGCGTTATCTCCCACGCGTACTTTGCCTCGCGGAGAGGAGAGGGTGGTCGTATAGCCCCTGAACGCACACTCGCGTGCCCTTATCTCGCGGTTGGGAGCATCTTATACCTTGGCTGTCTTTAAGCTTTTACTGGAACACTTCTGTTGTATGATAGTTACAGGTCGCACAACGGTCACTGCAATCGTTGCACAGTCTCCGTTTGCAAAAAGAGGCGCTTTTCAGACTCAGCGAAGTAACAAATAGGACGCTTGGTCACGTTCATCTGTACCTGTGAGTACGTGTCGTGCATTATTTGTACGTGAGAAACGCGGGGAACACTTAGATCTGCTTGCCATTCTGCGCTTGACCTTCCAATTTGTTGCTATTGCGTTCATTGCTTCACGTTTACGGCAAAGCTGTGACTTTACTTTTGCGGTTGTGCCTTGCAACTGCGAACGTCTTCGACAAATGGGCACTCAGATGATTGATGCTATGTGCGCAATGATGGAATAGTCTCGTCGATAACACACTACGCTGCGCTGAGCTTCGTCTAGGTGTAGGTAGGCACCGCTGGTAGCACTGTGCGGTGGCCGTGTGGCCGTGTGTGTGCTCAAGGGTGTAGTATATTAGTAGAAGTGCTAGTTGTAGCAGTGTCTTTATATTTCTTGAAGTACAAGAGAAAGGAACGGAGGCAAAAGACGTTTCATACGCCTGACAAGCATTCGCACCTAAAGTTGACCACAGATAACACATTTCTTCTATATACAGTCGAAACCAGTTATTGTTATAACTCTAGGATATCCAACTAGGATATCTATCTCGGTAGGAAGCGCCGCAACTCTTACACAGAAAACAGCCCCGCCGCAGTGGTCTAGTGGCTAAGGTACTCGGCTGCTGACCCGCAGGGCGCGGGTTCGAATCCCGGCTGCGGTGGCTGCATTTCCGATGGAGGCGGAAATGTTGTAGGCCCGTGTACTCAGATTTGGGTGCACGTTAAAGAACCCCAGGTGGTCTAAATTTCCGGAGCCCTCCACTACGGCGTCTCTCATAATCATATAGTGGTTTTGGGACGTTAAACACCACATATCAATCAAATCAATCTTACACAGAAAACACAACACAAGTGTTCTGTGTAGTAGTTGCTGCGCTTCCTACCAAGATGGATTCATACCAACTGTCCCGATACAATTGTTTATTAGGATGTCTAATTATTCTTATAATCAAGTGCCATGAGAATGTCATTTTTATAACCAGTAATTGCTATAGATGGGTTACGCAAGATGAAGCAAAAATGCAATATTGCAAGGTGTTGTGAAGACACCAGAATGTCGGATGAGATATGCTCACGGACATCGCTGATAAGGACAAAACACAGGCCGAATTCTGGACGTACTTCACTATAAGGCTTGTGGGCCACCACAAGTTTTATAGAGCTTTTGTATGACAATATCTGAATTTTCGACGCTGGAAGTCTTCCAACTCTCTATTTTTGATTAAAGTTGTGCATCCAAAAGTATGCACAGAAGGCGCCGCCACTCATGCGCTGTAACGCATTTTGAATTAGATTTACCGATATACTATAGCGCTGTGCAGCGAAGCATACCACAAAATCGACTGTTAGGTGTTGCGGGCGGGTTTGAAGTTGCTTGAATTTCTCGTTTCTCCTCTCAAAGATCTAGCTGTTTCATTACCTTCGGGCATGGACAATCAACTGCTAAAATTATTTAGAAAAATTATATTCTTAAAACTTTCATTGTTATTAGTGGGTTACGCGCAAACAAAGTTTTGCGTATCTTGTATGCACATAAGTGGAAATAAAGGAGTTCCAAAGAAGTACTGCAATCAAAACAAACAACTCAATATTAGTAACCACATGGGAAATAAAATAACTGTTATAAAAGGGACAATGACATAATTTTCAAAAACTACCAAAAATTTCATAGTACGATCTTTCTACAACTTTTGCGCAATATTGGTTAGCAGTGATAAGTTGTTATTTAACAAATTTTAAACTTCTTTTAAATATCCCTGTGCTAACGTTCAACAAGGATATATAATTACTTAACTAATCATAATAATAGGTTATATTAAAATTATGAAAGCCAGACATACCGTCTGGCTTATATAATTTCTCCCGGTTATGGGTAAACGCTGTGAATTTCTTCTAGCACAAAAAAGTAATTTTTTATTTTTGGTTCATACAATTTATTTTTGTGTACTTCTTAAAGCAGTTTGAATATATATTTGGTTTACACTTAACATTTCATTTTTACAAAAAAGCACGCGTAAGTGCGCAAACAGTGGTGAGTTTTTGTAACAACAGAGCATTTGAGTTTTTGTAACAACAAAGCATTTTTTTGTATCATAGTAAAGTTACTGTATTTTTTTTTCATCTCCCACACTTGTACATTACAACAAAGTGTCGAATAAAAGAACGGCATTGTATAACATTTAACTGCAGACGAATAATGGAACCAATCATGTACTGCCATTTTACCATTCCCGCGAGTTTTCTAACTAAATGATCAAGGTCGACGTTCCACGTTAGGTCTTCGCGGATCTATACCCCAAGGAATTTGTAATGTTTGTTACTTTTAATAGTGTTCCAGTCAAAGCTTATCTTTGTCATAATGCACGTGTTTATTTCTTGGACGAAATAAATGTCATCTTCTCGGCGTTTAAAATTGTTTTGTTTAGGTCAAGTTGAGAATGAGGTCATACACCAATTTACATTTTTTATGGCGTTTCTAAGTGACCTGGTGTAAAAAAATACGTTCGTTATACACAATAAACCATGAGAGGGCGTGTATACATACAATATCATTGAAAAAAAGCAGAAATAGCTAGTGACCCATTATAGAACCTTGTGAAACTACTGGGTCAACTGATGCTTACTTGATGCAGCTGTTTTAATTTGTACAAGTTGGTACTAGTTATGCGAATAGTTTTCTAAAATGGGTGATACTCCGTATGCCATACGGTGACAGCTTCCGTAATATGTCATGTTGTATTGAGTCAAAAGCTTCCAGCGAAAAGACCAAGCACATTTTTTTATTCTTACGTTTTCAAGTATTCTATCTTGATTATTAAAAATGGAATAATTTCTCATTGCTTTTTCAGCGGATTTATTTTTCCTAAAGCCATATTGACATGCAGTGATAACACTACATTTACTTGAAAAGGACAACAGGCTGTCGTGAGTGACGCCTCCAAAAGCTTAGATAATATAGTGAGTGTGGATACTAGTCTATAATTTGGCATGTTATTTAGTCAATTAATTTTATAAATTGGGGCTATTCTTGCAACGTTTAATCGTGTGGGGAACACGTCTGTTGTTAGTACTGGATTTACTAGGTAAGCACGCACGACGGATATTAATGAAAATACCAGCTTCAGTTCAGCTGCAGTAAACTAATCTATTATACCTTGCGCAACAATGATCATAAGTTTATTTACTACTCTAGGCATCCGGGCACTGTCAGTGGGAAGCACTAATATGCAATGATGCGTTTTCTGCATCTACAGTTTTGGTCGTACCTGTGCAATCTTGACTTGAACACCTACATCAGAGCCAACTTTGACTTTAGAGGCCATACTTGCAGTGACCGTAATGTGGTTATCGCGAGCTTGCTCATAGCAGTTGTTATGCTAAAGAATACAAGTGATGTCATGCTTTATTCTGTAGCAGTTCAGTCGATACAGATATGTAGGGGTGCACGCTGAAAATGATTCACCATATTGTTGTACCTTAATTACAAATCTGGCGAGCTCGTTGATCGGGTACAACGATCGCGCATTTATGCGGAAATGTCCGCGACCGTTTTAATTTTTTTGTAATGAAAATGACAGTATAAGTAAGTTGGTGGGGATAACATTCGACACAAGTTGCGGTTCGCCTTACGTAGCAGCGCCCGCACGAAAATGCAAGAATGGAATAAATATGAATCTAGGAGACAACGGCAACCGCGCGTATCATAAAAGAATCGCAAGAAAAACAAAACGCGGCATTGTCATCCCAGTTATAACTTTCGATTTCGTAACCAAAGCATTGAAAGGAAGTTCAGCCACAATGTGAAACATCGACATCCTTATAGTCAATGCACGATGACAACTAACCAAGAGGTCGTATCAATGAATAGTATGTCGCTTCATTTATGGGGTTTTACGTGCCCAAACTAGGGTTTGACTACGAGGCATGCCTTTGTGTGGAACAGGAGAGTGCATATGACCACCATGGTTTTGTTAGCGCTTGCCCATATCGAAGCGCGCAAACAATTTTTCGTATTCTCATTCGAATGTAACAGCCGGAACCGTGTTACCGTGAGCTCTTACTCCGCGTTGATTGATTTGTGGGGTTTAACGTCCCAAAACCACCGTATGAATAAGAGAGACGCCGTAGTGGAGGGTTCCGGAAATTTCGACCACCTGGGGTTCTTTAACGTGCACCAAAATCTGAGCACACGGACCTACAACATTTGCACCTCCATCGGAAATGCAGCCGCCGCAGCCGGGATACAAACCCACGACCTGCGAGTCAGCAGCCGAGTACCTTAGCCACTAGACCACCACAGTGAGGCCTCCTACTCCGCAGTGTCATGCCCTAGCTACATAGTTAACACGGCACTTCAGAATCTATACATAAATCTATGCATGCGTACAAGAAAGCTGTCACATCGAGCCTTAATTTTATATGCCTTCACGCCATCTTGACCTTATGGCCTAATCAGGGCTATGCCATTATCAGCTGATGTAGTTACCACCGTAAGAGCATAGTCTTTGCATTCTAGGCGTCGTCATGCACAGTTATGGTGACTGGTGCTATTGCTGCAGTTTTTTTTACCTTTTGGGCGGCACATTTTATGTTACCTTTTGTTTTTTTTTTGAAACTTGTGGTCGCTTCACATTGAGCACCAGGGAAAAAAGTGTTTGTATTCGTTTGGTCTGCTAGAACGTTTCCCTTTATATTAAGGAAAGTCGAGCGTACTTAGCAAAGATCCAATCAGAGCTTTGGTTTAGGTGCTCAAGGCATTACTAGATGAGAGAGTCTCAGAACTAATTTTTCTGTACTAAGACAAAAAATTAGTGCGAATGCTCTGTGAATAAAATCAAAAGTGTCGGCTTCCAATTTGGCGGTAATATCGCACATTTTATGCTCCCACTTCCGTGTTTTGTCGAGAGAAAAAAGCTTGCGGCGAGGTTACGCCCTTACTACGCGTACGGCGAGAACACTTGGACGTAACCATGTTGTGGATCACCGACGTGTGGATTAGAGACAATGCTCGACATGCAACAGCTTTCGTGTGCTTAGACGTATGAAGAAAAGCACTAAAGTGTACACCTCTTCTTTCAATCGCAGTTGAAGCTTGACGCGAGAAGAAGACCGAGCGCGCGGGAAGCCCAGACAAAGGCGGAACACTTTGCCGTTGAAAACGTGCTCAGAATCGAGCAGGTGAGTGGAATGCCATTAATTTTCCCCAAAAGAAGGAACTCTAGCATTGACCCGTATGGTTATGTTTTTGTGCAGGTGAGCTATTCGAGGCAGTACCGAGAAGGGATGATCCAGAAGAGCACCATGATGACTCTGCTGGCTGCTCTGCAGTACCCGTTCGACAAGAAAGTGTGAGTGCGCAGCTCGGCTTAGATGCCAGCTAGCTATATTGTCGTGGAAAACTAAGCAAGTGGATGTAGAATGGCGAGAATGCTGTGACATATTGTGCCTTTTGACGCTTTTGTGCCTATTCTGTGTGGAGCCAGCAAGCCCACTCATTTGTTCAGTAATTCTGAGTCAGTATCTGACTATCTAATATATAGCATAACAGTAGTCAAATGTGCTTCTTATATTTGAGGAAACGGTGCACCGACTCATTCCTGGTATGTTTAAGCCAATAGTTGCGTTTGCACTGTTTCTAATTGACGTAACAAAACTGTAAACCAGGAGAAAAATGGTTGTGGGAAACCCATGCGTCCGCGTATAAAGGCGCCCCAGGAAAGAGACGGGAAACCAAGCTTTGGTGTCAGTGAGTGTGTTATATTTAACGGAAACGTTTTCTTCTTTTTAGTTGTTACATAAGCCAATCGACTCATTTAATTCCCTGTGGGAGTCTAAGGCAATTTAAAACAATGGTTGTCCAACTTGCCAAACTGCTGAGTGTATACAAAGTAGTGCGCCTGATGCCACTGACTGTGGTTTATATTCCGTGGAGCTTGTTGCAGGTACATGGGCGCAGACACCATCGAATCGCTGATCGACATTCCCGATTGGATCAAATGGACGGTGAGGACTTCTTGAACCTCCTGAAATAGAAACACGAGGCGGCGCTAGCGAGTTTCTCGCGAAGCCACTTTTTTTTAAAATCTTCATACATGCAGAAGGAGCGCCTTTCGGTGTCCAGCTTTGGCGAGGATCTCATGGACGATACTGAGTCCATCCAGAGCCAGATGGAGCGCAACGTGCAGGAGCGCATCATCGACATGTTCGAGCACAAGTACTACGAGCTGGTCATCACCAGCACCACGCTCACCTTTCTCACGTGCCTGCTGGGAATGCTGATGAACACGCCACTTCCACCTAAGCCGCGCTCGGACGCCGTACTGGTCATCGAGGGCGTCTACATCATCCTTTTCGCCGCCGAGATTACCACCATGGTAAGCACATGCCCCTGTCGAACGCGTAAGACGCCGTGGGGGGAGAGACCCCAATAATTATTCAGGTTGTATAACAAATCACAAAAAGACGAGTCGTTGTTAGCCGCGCTTAAGGAACGTAATGGCTTTGGTCGGTTAAAACACAGTTCTCTGGGACCTGGTTGCTGACAGTCGTCAATCTCCGTTGTTCGTGAGTGGAACCAACCTAAGCATGCTCTCGCCTTCAAGGCCCTGCATTACCTTTCTAAGTAGCCATGAAATGGATGCACTGAAGGAGCTTACTGCCTCCCGAATTCGCGACCAAAAAATTTCTTAGAAACCCTCCTGTTCGAGCCGAGTTACAAAAAAAAAAATTGGCAGATCCCATGTACCTGGGAATCAACTTTATGCGGAGTACGCGAAGGGAAGGTGACCATGTTGCATTTTTTAAATTGAACGATACGTCATGACATGACGCTAAATATATGTACAAATGTTGCGCGCAGAGACATGTGGAAGAGCTGCAGATGTTTATATAATCAGTTTTCCACTTGCGCAACGATGTCAGCTGGAAATGTGTTTTAGCAACCCCAGAAGCCGATATGAAGCGCTGATGCTCGCGAAGATGCTTGCCCTTGACAGTGCTACATATACCAGTTTCAGCGCATGGCACCTCACCACAATTGACGTCAACCCGACGTGACGGCTGTATGAAAGGAGCACATATGTAATGTTTATAAAACTGCGTAGGCAGCACTGCAACCACTATTGACGTTTCACGAAGATTAGCGTCTATTTGAAAAGTAGTTCTGAGACCTGGCGTAGCTCTGTGGTAGAATGCTTAACTTTCAAGCAGTATTCTCGGGTTCAATTCCTGCTGGGATTATGAAACTTATTATTTGCATTCGTCGAGTGGCCAACGCTGCCTATGTCAGGTTTTTCTTAGCACTGACATTTATTCTATGCCTTCGTTGGGTCGACACTACAGATGTCGGGTATTGCTCAACTCTCACGCGTTAAAATTGCCCATGTGTGTTCTCGTCGTTCCTGGGTAAATACTAAGTGTCAATCACATGTGGCACATACCCGCCCGTGGGTATGTGTCACTGTCTGGCGGGAAGTGTTTGACGACGTACACGACAGGATTTTGACATTATTCATGTCTTGACCAGCGCGTCATTTTCGTCAAACTATCTTACCCTCCCATGCTAATTTTCGCTCACGTCAAGTAAAGAGGGTGACCACGAGAGCACCCAAGCGTAAGTGCCTAGATAGATAGATAGATAGGTAGATAGATAGATAGATAGATAGATAGATAGATAGATAGCCCCGCCGCGGTTGTCTAGTGGCTAAGGTACTCGGCTGCTGACCCGCAGGGCGCGGGTTCGAATCCCGGCTGCGGCGGCTGCATTTCCGATGGAGGCGGAAATGTTGTAGGCCCGTGTGCTCAGATTTGGGTGCACGTTAAAGAACCCCAGGTGGTCTAAATTTCCGGAGCCTTCCACTACGGCGTCTCTCATAATCATATAGTGGTTTTGGGACGTTAAACCCCACATATCAATCAATAGATAGATAGATAGATAGATAGATAGATAGATAGATAGATAGATAGATAGATAGATAGATAGATAGATAGATAGATAGATAGATAGATAGATAGATAGATAGATAGATACGCTCAAAGTCACCGAAGTTCGCTAAGAAATGCTTCGCATTTAATTTGCCGCAAGCTGCAATTGGATTCTTTGTCCTCTCATATCGATGATATCACTGGAAGATGAGCAGAGAGGAATGGCACGGGGATGAGAATACGTCACGCACGCTTCATGACCCCGAGAAGTTGCTCCTTCTCTTTTTTTATGAATGCGTAGCTTTTCTGCGTGATCACGCACGCGTACGCGTGGACAATTCCTGGTTTCTTGTGGGGGCCCCAATAATGACCGGGCGCTTGATGCTCAAATCAGCCAACGGCTGATACCAGGCCGGCGACGCTGCGATTGTGAACCTTCAGCGTCATTTCCTCAAAAAAGAAAAAGAAATATTTTGAACTAACTGATAGTTTGCTGTATATTTCAGGCCATGTGAAGCGCTTGGCACGCATGTTTTTGGGAACCTCGCATACCAATCGGCAGATTTTTTTTTCGACCATGCTCGAAGAGTTGCAGGGCCGCTTCAACACCTACAGCATTCTCTATGATGCTCAGTTGAATTTCTCATAATTTACTATATTCTCGCAAAGCTGTGTAACGTCTGAAGTTATCTATGTTCACAGTAACCTGTTATTTTTTTAGAAACTGATAAAAAATGTGTTAGATAAAAAAACTATTTGGCGTAATACTTACAAAATGCTACCATGCAGATAACTGCTTATGGGCACCGGTTCGTGCGGTTGGACAACTACAACAAACTGGACCTTGTGCTGGTGGCCACGTGCATCTTCGTGTTCGTCGCCCAGTTCACCATCTACTTCCTAGTTGCCACCCAGCACCAGTACCAGGCCATCCCCACGGCCATCTTCATCCTTGCCATGTCTGTGCGGCTGGTCCATGCCGTCAAGTACATCGAGGTACAGTGGTTGTTCACCTCAAACTGTACCTCGTTGTAACCTATCGCAAACACATCGCCATGATTTAGCCATGGTGTTACGGAGCAGGGAAAGAGGTCCTAGTTTATATGTCTTGGCACTTTAGCCTTGGTCAAATGAAAATTAAATACAGGAAACGACTTTTCAATTGACCTTGAGAGGACATTGGAAGACACTTTTTGCCGACTAAACCTGATGCTATATATCTACGGTGAGGTTACTGATAGCCTAGTATGGCACAATCGGATGCGAATTCGTGCCTAAAATATTCCAGCGCTACTTTTGATGAAGACATCTCATAAATGCATGACAGGACGGGCACAGTCTCTGTCCATGTTTTGTTAAATAATGGGAATTTCCTTCACTGATTTCAATGTCAGAGCCCGGTCAAAGTAAAGACTTGGCACAACAACTAATAGGCGTGTATTAGCACATATAATGCACGAAAAGCACAGTCTATTATTGTTCTTTGACGTTGTGTAAACAATATCAACTTTTCTACCTTCCGTGCAATGAGCTGTAAAACCACAACGTTGTTGGTACGAAACTGTTGGCTTTGCGGGTATTCAGGTGGTCCAGGACTGGTTGCTGGACGCGCTGCACCGGTACCTGGACAAAATAATTTACGCGGCGTACGAGACCTCACTGGCCATCATCACGGGCGAGGAAGAGGTGCAGCAGAACGTGTGGAAGTACGTGCCGTCGTCCGACCTGGCCCTGGAAACGCGCAGCCGTGCCACCAACAACCGGCTCATCGTGCTGCGCAACCTGGTCGAGATCCAGTCGCGCTTCCCGGGCATCGCCGTCGCCTTCAAAGTCGCCAGGCGGCGCAGACCATCTTGAACGACGTGTTGGCGCACGTGGCCGAGATGCAGCGCGACGGTTTCTTTACAGAGGAGCAGCACCGCGAGCTGTACCAGATGCTCAAGGACAAGATGATGGGCATCGTTTGCGCGCCCAACAGCTTGCCGGCGAGCTACAAGCCGATCGCCGTGCTGCGCGTCATTCCCTGGATCGGGTCTGACAGCGTTCGACAGTTCCTCGCTGTAAGTCAGCGCGTCTGTTGGGAACTTCTAGCGTTACTGCAATAATTTCAGAGAAGTCAAGAGGTGCTGCTGAAATGATGCTCGTAACTTGACTAGCTTGCCGGTTGTGATGCCAGCAAGCGTAGTAGACTGGGGCGTCCTAATACGGTTGGACGAATGATCAGGCATGATAAGAACGGCCTATAAAACAAATGTTGACCGTTTACAAGACAGCCCTCGTGATTCTCACAGTAAACGTAAGGAAGTGTCCTAGCATGTATCAAAAATGTGCACTTCAGCGAGAGACAATGCGCACATAATTGGCACAATATGTTTTATTTGGACAGTAGCCATTTTTTAACATAACTTCAAATCTAACAGTAGTGGCATTGTGTGCCAATTGCAGATTAACCAGTCAGCTTCTGGGGACAAAGTACAGGAGCTCAATTCCGCTTAATGGCGTGAACGGAAAACGTCTCTCATAACGAAAGTAAACAGTACAAAAGAAGCAGCACACAAAAAAGGAAAACCTGACAGCGCTAACATAACAGTGGTTTGTCTTGACAGTCAGATGGTCATACACATAATTGATAAATGGTTCGTAGTTTGCTCATATTACCACAGTTTGTTTTTATTTTGTTCGGGACTGCAAAAGTATATATCTCGTGGTTTCAACTAGCAAACATTCTTTATAAGTCGGCCCTGCCACGGTGGTCCAGGGATTATGGCACTTCACTGTTAAACCGAAGGTCGGCGGATGAAATCCCGGCTGTAGTGACTGCTTTTTCGATGGAGACGAAAGTCTTTCAGGCTCATGTACGTAAATTTAGATGCACGTCAAAAAAGCACAGGTGGTCTGAATATTTAAAGCCCTCCACTACGGCATATTTAATAATCATATCGTGGCTTGGATGTTATACACCAGATACTATTACTGTTAATAAGTGAGTGCTGTGGTTCGTGTATTTTTGTTGTGCTCCATTCTCTACTATCACGTCGTGCCATGTTTCAATCCATGCCATGCTTCAGTCTTCGTTCAATCCAAAGTGTTATGGAAGTGGCTCAAGTATCTACTTTGGATTGAACACCTTGAATTGAAACGTTTTGTATTTACTTTGGATTGATAGGTGAACTAAAGGATGAAAATTTAGAAGGAATGCATAGCTAAGGCACATTAAAAAACTCCCAAGCATTTCCCCGAGGGTGAACATGGTTAAGTGTGAATGCATGGGGTGATGCTATGAGGGGTATTTATTAATTCGCACTATTATATTTATTAATCACGCTATGGTGCCTTTATGGTGTAATGGTTCTCAATATAAGAAACTCTATGCCGCTGACATCCTAAAACGTTGGCAAGCGGCGTTAAAGATATAAGGCGCGTTATTGACACCGATATCAGCGTCGCGTCCGTGGCTTATTCGGTAGAGCGTCGCGCTGCGGCCTGCCAAGTCCTCTTTCTTTTAAAGATAGAGAGAAGACTGCGGACGCCGCCGATGGCGGTGGATAGCTTGGGGTCGCTTATAAAGTGTATTCAAACTTAAAATTGGAATTGTTCGAGGAGTCGTCTGCCGCAGTAAGCAGGAAAATGACGGTGGTTGAGGCTGCGTGTTGACGTACAGCTATAAGCACGCTTCACACGAACACTCGACAGCGTGTCCTGGGCCGGTTTCACTGACGCCAGTCGCGAAGTGCTCGGCGTTGATGTCGAGGTTAAATCTCGCTATGTGTGCATAATATATCGACCATAGCGCCTAACTCTTCGCGAAGGTCAGTCTCCTCTAGGTCATGCTGAAAAGCGTGCATGTTATGTATGCTGACGGCGGTGCCGTTACTGTGCTTTGTTGAGCAGTCACCACGTGTTAAGTGAAAAAAAAAGCAGATCAAGAATAAAATAGCGCCGGAAACTACTGCATGTATTTAAATGGGCGTTCAACCGCGAAAGCTCCAGCAAAGTTGGCGTCCATTAAGTATATTAACTTTCGATTTTCTTGCAGATGCAGCTCAGACCCGTGGCTTACGGGGCCGGTGATGTGATCGTCGAAAAGGGCTGCGAGAGCCCCATTCTCATTACATACTCGGGCATTGTCAAAGTGAGTCGATGTGACAGTAATATTTTTTTGAACTAGTTGAATAAAGGTATAAGCACGCGTGACTCGATCCACCTGTCTGGTGCGTTTGTCCGTTTATCATGCTGTACTTCGTAGTTAGTTCCTCTCCTCACTCGGGGTTGGCTGACTAACTAACCCCATAACTGGGACTAACCACATCGCAATGCTAACACGATTTAAACCACACCTCACTACCGAAAAAGTTGACGCGTTCAAAACTACAAGAACTTGGCACGCAACTTTTAAGTTTCCTAATATTTTTAAAGTAGAAACATAGGGTGACTCATCAAACCCCAAAAATTGACCGGCATCCCACGCCACTTCCCCACAAAACGTCACCAAATCACAGGTTTTCAAAATTTGTGAAGTCACCATAACAGCAATTTGACATCACATATAGTGATTACGCAGAGTGACAATATGACTGATTAGTCGAAATTTTACGTCTCCAGAGGGAGCGCAAAACAAGGTGTGGCGCGAACGCTTAAGGTGTTTAAGAATTATAATTACTAATTAATACATAATTAATAGAAATTCACCTTTGCCTGCTGATCTTTTTTCAGTTCCTAAACGCAATACGTGACATGCTTCGAATGGTAATTTCAATCTGCCCAAATGTTTTAATGTTTACGGAGAAAGACTGATACAGTTTAATGGAACAAAAATATGGAACACGGTTCCCCTAGAGATTAAAACGGCACGTAATTTCAGCATGGCATGTAAATCATTTTTTCTGTGGAGTCAAGACATGTAAACATGTGTGTGTTTGATTCGATTTTCATTGTATTTTTTTTCTGCAGGAAAAAATGTATTACTGTGTTATCTGTATTATATGATTGTTTTTTTGTTTTTTTTATGTTGTTACCTCAGAGCTGACCTGTACACTTTTTTATATTGCACATTGTATTGGACCGTCCACTAGCCACTTTAGGCTATCGGTCCAAATAATCCCTGTAATTACATATATATATTCATGAAAATAAAGTTTCATTGATTGATTGATTGATAGGTGCGTAGCACCACCAAGATATTTGTAGAAAGCCTTGAATTGGGGGGGGGGGGGCAAAGGAGGTTCGATGTATTTACTTGGGCGAAAAAATAACTTAGAAGAAGAAGTAGATGGCTCAATAAAGTGGAATGCTGGGCCAGTTGGTAAAACATAATATGGAAATAAGCACTTGACAGGAACTTTTGAGTCGGCTGAGGTGAGGTGTATTTATAAAGGGTCTTGCGAGTGGTTTATTTATACTGTGGTGATATTAGCACCTTACTTGACTGGGAGGCGGCTTTGCTCGACCGCTTGAACCTGGTCAGCCAAAATGTCCTGGCCACGCGTGCCCGGGTAGGGGCTAATGCCAATGGGCTCCTGTAAAAAGGAGCCCACCCAGTCATGGGAACCCTCCGGGGAGCCTCCACCTTTTACCCGAATAAAGTGTTACTCCCTCTCCTCAGGAGATTTTACGTCCCGCATAACGCAATACCTTGATACCCCTCTTTAATACGTCACTGATGCAGATCGAGGGTGAAGTGGAGTACCGCGAGGACGGCGCGCTTCCGAACTCCTCGTCATCGCTGTTCTTCTTCAGCGACGAGTACTTCGAGGACTACCTGGGTGCCCCCGTCACGCTGGGAGCCCTCGGCTTGGTGACCGACGAGCCCACCGCGACACGGGTCTCCACCGAGACGCCCGTCAATGTGAGTAGTGCTGAGGAAAATATGATAAGGTCTTTCACGTTTCTTTTCATTAACGTTCACTTCATAAAAAATACTTTCACGCAGAAGCAAACAAAATAATAAGGACCACCTCCCCGAAGGAAACTCTGAAGGGATGCGAAGTAGCAGCAGCGGTGCGCACGGCGTTGACCCGGTATAAACGGGCGTTGGAAGGATGGTTTGATGCGAAACTCGGTGTAGGGTTTACTCGAGTAAACCTTTTTTTAAACGCAAAGACACGTGAGGTGGCTCGGGTTTCGTGTGAGTTTCGTCACATGTAAACGAGCCGAAGGAGTAGACAGATTTGGTTGCACGTCTGTAGCAGCCGTATAGACGCAACCTGCTAAGCAATTATTCAAAGACAGGCCACGTCCATATGGCTGCTGTGGACGTGCAACTAAATCGGTCTAGGCTTCCCATTCGACGTGCGGTCGAGTGTTGTGGGTGGGGGACAGGGTGAAGTGAGAGAGAAGTGTGTTACAAGTGGGTGGAAAGGCTGGTTGTGGTGAGGGAGAGAGTGATGTCAATGCGCAGCTGCGGTTTGACCTACTTAGCACCGCTCACATACGTGCGATGCGGAGATTTGCACAGACGCACGGAACAGCGTTACACAAACTAGTCGAAGAGCTGCTTCGCATCTAATATGCCTTTGAAGGGCGTACGTTTTATTGTTCACTGGCCCCTCTGTTCGACTTTTGAATGTGCTTGTGAATGTACACATCTTTCTGCTTCTCTTTTTTTTCGTACTTTTCCTCTAGTGGGACACGAGCTTTTTCCAAGATACTCTTACTACCCTTATAACTGTTTGCTTGTGGGCCATATTGTGTTTCGCTGGAATAAGCACTCATAAGTATAACAGTGGTGTTACGCGAAAGTCATTTGGGCGATGCTCTAGTTATCGCTTTTCTAGCCATTTGCGTTCAGCAGAAAGCGGGCTCTTCACTTTCTGGCGTGCGTTTTCAGAAAATATGAGAGTGCATCACTTCTTGCGGCC